AATGCACCTGAGTTGCAAAATAGAGTTCCAGAATTAGATTTGAACCCTAACTTGCTCTAAGTTGAAGAGCTTTCGTGTGCATTTTCCAGCTTCTGGCCATTGCAAACATAACAAGCTCAAGCAGTCAATTTCAGATCTGGAACTGGATTTCTCCAAAGTCCTTGGAGGTCCATATCTGCAATTTCAGGTTCAGATCCATACCTAGCAGAAATGTGCAATCCTGAGCACACCGCCAAAGGAAATAAAACTGTTTTATTGAATAAATATTCTGAAAATACATTTGGTTGTGTTCAGATATTTCACAGTAGATAAATATCTATGTTCTTCACAAAGTTGAAATATCATCTTTCAGTTTCCCATTTAAGACATCCCACTAAAATGTTCACATGAGTACTGCAGATGAAAAAATATTTATAGACAGCAGGAAGAAATAATAGTATTCAACAGACTTTTCAATGGTATTTGACAGTGTTCAATTGCAACTGTTGTCTTTTTATTTTCAGAAAACACTTGTCTGCTATTCTGCAAATGCTGACTATCTGGTCTGGACCACTCTCCTGGGGCCAAAGTGTTTACAGATCTCATCTGAATGATACAGTCCTTCAGACATGCTCAGTCTTGTACTTGCATGAATTAGGGCAAGGACCATACATCAATTACTGAATCCTGTTTGATGCTATACATTTGCTTGGTCACAAGCCACTGGCTTTGTTTGGCTATTTGAGGAGATTAGTTTCAGCTGCTAAAGTAGAAAGATGGGACAAGAAGAAAAACACCACCACCGCAGGAAGAATTTCTGTTTGATATTAATGGGTATATTCCTACAGCAAAGATATGCATCAGGAAAGCAATTGCCCAAGACTGTTATTATGCATGTTATTTACATTCTATGCAAATAAGAAATATTTAAGTGGTCCACAGTTCAAAACTTGAATCTCTTGCGGAGGGTTAACTGTTACCTAAGTAGGCATTAGAAAAAGTGGTTGACTAATTTATCTTTGCAATAGTTAACAGTTAACATACCTTGACTAGTATAATTTATATTTTTGTTGTAAGAGAAATCAAGATTAGTTTCAGAATGTAAACCTTAAGAATTCCAAATTCTCTGTCCATTAATGTTCTCCTTTGATTGGATATTTAAATTATTTAGTTTATCTTGGTGATTGGTCTAATTAGTAATTTTCTCTGTAACAAAATATTATTGGTAAATGTGAGGAAAAATTGAAAGACTATCTCAAACGGAATAGATTACCTAGAAATATAAATAAAACCCAACAGAATGAAAATAATTAGTTTCCTAATCAATAGTTAAAGTCTTCATTTGCATCTGGGGCATAACCACCAGATGCTGTTAGAATGGCCTAATGAAATGGGTCGCAGAGAAACTTATTACTTGCAGGCCTCAAACTGCGATTCAATGGCCCAGCAAAACAAGAAAATGCGCCCTGTTTTACTCAAACGGAATAGCCTGGATTCAGTTGATTTTATGAGGCAGCCACACCACCGCAGGAGCAAATCTCAGCAAGTCCGATTCAAAGATGATGGTACAAACAAGAAGCCAATTGGTGTCACTGAAATGGACACTAAACCTGCCAAAGACACAACGCTCATGATTGGAAAGGCACAAATATCTAGGCACCATAACCTGCCAAACTATTCTCTCTCTTTCCCAAGGGCTCAGAAGGGGCATCGGAATATTGCTATTCAAACTTCTCCCAGCCTTAGGAAGCATTTTCCAGTTTTTAAAAAGAAAAAACTGACAACAAGTAAGTCTTTAATGGAAATGCCAACCGAGCCTGAATGCTCTGTCCAAGTCAACGGCAATCTTTCTGAACAAGACATGTCTTTGGACCTCTCTTATTTAAGAATAACTAAACATTTGGAAGATGGATCTACAACAGCCAAGACATCCAATCCGTTATTTCAAAGAGAGTGTAAAGCACAAAGCAATGGGCCTATCCACTCAGACTCAGATACTTCCGCAATACTGGAAAAGGCAACTGTTTATACACAGGTGCCTGAATACATACATCTGACTTCTCCACAGGACAACAGTGCTTCCGTTTATGCTTCAGACATGGCCATGGATTTAAATGATTCAGTATGTTCTCCTATTACTATGAGGCAATCCAATGAAAACTATACACTGCCATCCAAATCAGGAAAATCTCCCTCCTGCTTAAACAATACCAGGAACTGCAATGAAATTAATCCACATTATGACTCTTGTGAAGCAAAAAGTGTTTTGGAGTTACCTGTATCCACTAAAGACACTAGCACTAATGAAAACACTCCATTATCACCTCTGTCGAATCAGAGTTCATCACACTGCTTTCTTAGAGAGCATCAACAGCTAACAGAGCCTGAAACAGATTCTGACTGTATGGTGCTGACTAATGATAATCATGGAATAACGTCATTGACCAGCAGTAATGAGTCAAAATCTATTCCCTCGTGTCACACTGAAATGGATAAAACTTCTACACAGTCATATGTTCCAGAGTATAGCAATTATTTAGAAGACTTTCACATAAAGTCCCATCTTCCAGGGAATGAAATTAAACCAGAAACCAACAAAGAGATTAGAGACATTAATCAAATTCACTTGGCTCATGGCGAACTATGTGCCCTACAAGGCAGGCTGCAGTCCATAGAGGAATCTTTGCACTCAAACCAGGAGAAGATTAAAGTCCTTCTGAATGTAATTCAAGACCTGGAAAAAGCCAGAGCCCTCAGTGAAGGGTATGGTGTACTTTAATATTAAAAAAACTATTTTGTTAAGTAATTTATCAAAAAGTCAGACATGGCTGTTTACTTTCTTTTAATCTTTGTTACTCAAAATCTTCCTTTGAAATATTTAAAAAAATGTTTGCAAAATCATATTCTCTCTACTGTTTTATAGACTTGAGCCACTAAAGAGCAAGCAAATGTCTTTACATTTTGGCATTAATTAGCACTGAGCTTACAAAGCATCGGCTCAGTTAAGGCTTATCTATGTTGTCCACCCATCTGAACCATAATTTTGGTTCAGATCCAAGGTGTCAGAAAGCAGACATCACATGGCCTATGAGTTGGTGGTTTCAATTCAGTTAAAAGGGGTCAAGTTGCTAAGTGACAAAAAACAAAAACAAAAACAAAAAAAGAAAAGAGCATGGTTACAGATCGCACTAATTGACAGGACATATGAAAAAACATGGAAACTGAGCGCCCCTCTCACTTCTTAGGGTGGTGTCTTAAGAACAGAAATAAGGCACATTGTCAGGGCAGTGTGAAGAAGTTTGCACTTCCACCACCTGTGCTGTAAACATTCTGCAGGTTAGCTGGGACCTTCATTCTCTCTGGCTGCAAATTCGGACCCATGTACGTACTATATACATACCATATTAAAATCATTAACTAGAACATGTTTGAAGAAATGGCAGCAGAAGTTTTAGAATTATTGCTTTCTCTTCTGTTATTACCAATACAGAAAGTAAAAGTCCATGATCCACATTCATGCTTTATATGTTATCAGTCCAATCACCAGCTCTGTCTTGCAACTATTACTCATGTTATTTTTGGAATGCAAATTGTGCATTAGATTTCAGACTTCAATGGGACAAGTCTGCAACTGCAACACATGAGTAACAGTGGCAGGATCAGGCACCTTACTATTAAAAATGTCAAACTAACATGTGCAAAACATTTATATACCATTTTACAGGGTTCAGAATGTCACCAAGTTTAAACCACTGGCTCAGACTTGGAGCATATTTGCTGAGAATACATTTCAGAACTCTTTTTGAAACTAACACAATAGTTAGAGACGGTTTCTAGCTTTTAAGAATATGTTGCATATAATTAGTCAATCCTTTGTGCATTTAAAATAAGATTAAAAACAGCTACATGCAATAGCACTTGCAAAACTTATTTAACTGCACACATAATTTGCTTTCATAATTACCAATAACAAAATGCAAATAAGATAATTGCACATTTTTAAACTCAGGCCATATATATTAGCAGTATTTAATCCTTATCACTGGCACTTCCTTTCACATTTGCAGAAGGTCCCCAGGCAGCAGGAACAGCATGGCTCTAGTGCAAAAGAAGATGGGCAGGGCCTGGGCTCATGATTTGGGGCCTGAGTCTTTACAGAAAGATGCAGGGAGTGAACAAGAGAGGTGCACGTTGTAGCTGGATGACCTACTGCCAAAGAGATCCTTCTAGGGCCATGGAGATAGCTCAGGGTATGTAGTGGTGAAATCTTCATGGAGTAGTTCTGTTAATTTTCTGGAACCTCTAAGGAGGAAGATATCTTCCTCAACAAACACAACAAAAATAGAGTCTGCCCTCATTTGACAAAAGCCTTGTTGAAGATTATGTATCTGAGTATTCCAGAAGGGTGCAGCATTGTAAAGTGAAATGCAGACCATTCTGCTACATTTGTTCTTCATTTTTATTCTGTTACCACTTTGTTGGAAACTGAATTACTGCAAAGCTCCTCAGCTGGCTCTGTTTCAGCCTCAGTGACAGGCTTCAATCTATCTTTTAGAATCATTGGGTGACTGTGTTGACTATGGTAGTAAAACGGTATAATAATTATCCCCATTGCTTTTGTGAGTAGCACCACTACCGCTATTGAAAAGAACAGACTGAGATTAGTTCTCAGAAAAGCAATCAGAGAAGAATTTTGGGCATAATCATACACTTTTTATGCAGATAAAGCTGCCATTGACTTCAATGGATTGGACACCTGGGATGGAAGGAACCACCCAGTACGTACATCTACAGCATGACTAAATTACTGCAGTTGTCCCCAACTCATTCTTGACAGATGACTGTCAAGCCTAGCCTTGAATATCTCCAGTGACAGCAATTCTGCAACCTGCCTGGTCAGCTTGTTCGTTTTGTCAACTTTCATAGTAGCTACAAGGAGAAGTGTTTGTTTTCTTAAATTAATTTTCAAATACACAAAGAATTGTCTAGCAGGTACATAGGATAAATAGGATAAACCACAAAATAACTTGTTTTTTGACACAGCCATTTATGTCAGTCTGCCTTTGTGGCACTATTCAATGAGAATGTTTAGCTGCCTTGCTTTTCTGTTCAAAAGAAAGGGACAAAAGAAAAGAATGGAAAAGTAGAAAGCAAAGGGAAAAAAAGGATTATAGTGTGACGTACAGAAAGCACAGCAAATGGTTCAAATGTGTTCCAATCAAAAAAGTGTTCTTATAATTTAAGTGTTCTTGTAAAGATATTCTTATAAGAGATAGCTGTACAAAATCACCTGCTTTCCAGAGAATCCCCTGAATACAATATTGGCACCACAGTTTAAATGAGCTTAAGGGCAGAGGTTCAGGATGATAAATGTATGTGCTTTGGTTGGTTTTAAACCAGATTCTTAGCAACAAATTTCAGTGTTAAATTTGTGATTAGGATACTTAAAATGCCTGGAAAGAGGAGTTAGGTTTATTATAAGAGTTCTAACTTTTCAGTTCACAACTTTTTTATATAAATTACAGCAGCTATTGTCTATTTCAGGCGCAACTTCTACCACACTGGCCAAGACCTCAACAACTGCAGCACTTGCCAGAACACTGCATGTATCATTTACAGGTACCACCTGCTACTTGGTATAGTATGCATAGATCTCATCAGGGTACAATACAATATTTCCCTTGCACCTATAGTTCTTCTATTGTAAATCATTAATAAAAGAGTGGAAAGTTATTTTGTGTTCTTTTAAGGCATAGAAAGAAAGTTCTCAAGACTGGCATTATTTCGAAAGAAAGAAAATTAAACTAGAAACATCCATTGACGTGATATTGCCACGTTTTCACGAGTATGCTTTGAAATTATTTGAAGCAGTCTCTGCTGAGTGGTATTTCCTTTGGGTATTTCTGTAATGAAGTTAGATCTCAGAAAAGGTGAAGACTCAATCCTCCTCCAGACTCAAGTTAGTTATAGCTGCAATTCACGTAAAAAGTAGACAAGCACAGAACACAAGTGAACTCACATTTCAATTCAAGGAACAATTTTCTCAGTGAGATTGCCATTTCATTTAGCTAAAATTGCTATAGCCAAGTAACTTTGCAGTGTGTTCTGGAAGCTATACATGTGCATGAATAAAACACGCAGGGTCATAAAAGGTATCTCACCAACAGAGTGGGAACCTATCTCTTGGTGCCTGGGAACTGAAGACACATTATTTATTTATGTGTAATACCATAGCACTTAGGAGTCATAGTCATGGGCCAGGACCCCATTGTGTTAGGTATTGTATGAACACAGAACAAAAAATATACCTCCTGACCCAAAGAGCTTGTAATCTAAGTCTAAGAAAAGAGAGAACAGATGACTACAGACAAATATGTGGCGGAGTACAGAGAAACAATGAGACAATATTGGTCATCACGATAGACAGTGCAATCAGCACAGCACTGCCTAACCATTGTCAAGTTGTTTTTTGTAGGCATCACAGCAAAGAAGAGTTTTAAGAAGGAATCCGAAGGAAAATAACTAGGTGCTTTTACTGATGTTTATGAGGAGCTCCTCCCAAGCATCAGGTGCAGCTTGGGAGAAATCAAAAAGGCGCTTGTTTGAAAAATTAACAAGTGGACTATGGAGGCTGCCATCATTGGCTGATCAAGGATGACTGCATGACAGTTTTAGCTGTGTGGATGGATAGGAAAGGCGTTGTCTTAGAGACATTATGCAGAAAGAGTTGGCAAGACTTAGACATAGCTTGGATGTGAGGACCTACAGAGAGGTCCAAATCAAAGATGACACCCAGATTATGGGCCTGAGTGACAGGCAAGGATGATGGTGTTGTCTACGGTGACTGAGAAAGGAGGTGGGGTGGGGGGGGAGAGCTCTGTTTTAGCTCTGTTAAGCTTGAGCTGACGGCTAGAAATCCATGAGGAGATGGCAAGGAGGCAGACCAAGTTTTTAGTTCGATCAGAAAGACAGGTCTGGAACAAAGTAGATCTGTCGGTCCTCAGCACAGAGATGGTAGTTGAATTTGCATTTACAGATGAGATTATCCACAGAGAAGGTGTAGAGGGAGAAAGGGGACCAAGGACAGAGCCCTGTGGAACCCACAGAAAAAGTTGTGCGGGATGATGAGGATCTTTTAAGGGACAGACTGAAGGAGCAATTAGAGAGATAAGAGGTGAACCAGGAGAGGTCAGTCACAGAAGCAAAGGGAAAACAAGATTTCAAGCAAGGGAACAATCTATGGTGTTGAATGCAGCTGACAGGTCAAGGAAGATGAGGATATAGTATTGGATTTGGCTAGGAAGTGGGGGGAAGGTCACGTTGTGTTTTGTCAATTTTCTCTTGGAAGAAATTGGTGAGATTCTATGCAGAGAGAGGAGTGGAACCAAGAGGAGGGGAGGATTGGAGGAGGAAGTCAATGATTGCAAAAAGGCAGCTAGAACTGCCAGGGTGGAATGCAAAATTAACTCCCTTAGTGCAGCAAGATTAGCATTAAACATGCCTATCTTAAACTCGGACAGTGTTACTACAATATATATCCAGTAACTAGGCTCCTAATTCTAAAATGATAGGTGGAATTTAAATAATGCACCAAATATTGTGATTTCTGTGGTATATCTGTATAGAATTTGACAAGGGGTTGCAGTTTGTGTGTGAAATTGCTGCGCGGGGGGTGGGGTGGGGAATTGGACAGAGCATGTGTGTTCAAAACTAGAGATTTGGGATGTGTGGGGAGGGTGTTCTTTGGTGGTTTTTTTTTTTAAACTTCAATAGGAATTGAAATGAAAGGCAGTCTGGTATAGTTTGTGTTACTATTTGTATATTTAATTGAATAAAACTCTGGTTTTGTTTGTCTTTCCAGTTATTTTCTACTGTTTCAGAAATGTCATGCTGCAAGATTTAGTCCTGGAATTATTTGACAGTTTTAAAGATATAGGCTTTGGTCACTGACAAGGGTAGGTTGCTCCTGAGGCATGGGTTTTGTGGTGAAGTGCAAGTTTGGCAATGGGTTTCAGCAGCTAAGATGACAGAAAAAGGTTTCATCAACTGAGGACTGGGTGTTGGAAGATGTAAGGAAAGATTCAAATAATTTGTCAATATGGGATGATGTATTTCTTTTCTCCCCAAAATTTTGGGATGTTTTTCTTATCTCCATTTCTTTACAGACCATAGTGGCCTTACTCTAAGCTTCATACACATATCTAACACACCCATCATAGAGCAATGGGCCCAAAGCACAGTCTCCCATTTGCTAAGTCACAAAAAATACTTGTCACGTCCACTCAATGAGCAGCCCACCAATGAGCTTCAATCATGTTTTCCTAGACAGATCTCTCATCTTGTATAAAGCCCAAGTAGATCACCAAAACAGTAAAATGTCAACAAATCAGCCAAACACTGCAAAAGAAAGCAAACTAAGATTTGTGTCTATACTGTCTTTAACTATTGAAAGCTACTTTTGAGCTATTCATAACTCTTCATGTAAAAGTAACTTATTGGAGAAAAAGGCAAGTTGGGCCCATAACCACTCGGACAGAAAGAAACTGAGGAAACAAGGTATTTATAGCCCAATTGTGTGGAATGTAGAGTTCAAGGGACTTGTTCACATACCTTACCTCCCAACTCAAAAAGGTTCTCTGGCTGCCTGGTTAGTCATGTGGGTCATACAATTCTGTCCTCTGAGGTGGTAACTCTAAGACATGGAGTAAGTTCTCTCACGGCCATGCATGTGGAGCAACATATGTGATCCCTCTGTGCACCAAGAGGCAGCAATAGGCATAAGAATTATTAGTCACATGGTACACAGTATTATCTAACCAAAATTATCTAAAGGTCTCTAGGGAAACAAACTTTGGGAAGATGATACTTTGTAAAGTCAGTGACCCAGATTACCAACTCAGGTATAAGCATGTCAGCTCCTTATTTCAATTTATCCTGGTTTCCGTTTGTCTACACTTAAGTCATGTCGACATAGCTGTATCAGGGGTATGAAAAAAATAGCCAGCCAGTGTAGATGCAGCTAGGTTGATTGAAGTAGGCTTCTGCCAATGTAGCTCATGTTGTTTGGAGAGGTCGTGTTCTTACACTGACAGAAAAACTCCTTCTGTCATGGTAGGCTACGTATAAATTAGGAGGTCTATGCCAACATAGCTATGCCAGCATAGGCTCCACAGCATAGACAAAACCTACGTTACAGTTACGTGTGGGATGAGTTTGCCACATTATCTACAATATACCTGTAAAAAAAGAAAGCTGACACATATATTTCCCACCAAACTTCATGCTTTCTGGTTCTAAACAAGAAACTTATTCATCTTGTTCATTTTTTAGTCTTCCTTCAGCATAAAATACAATGCCACTATAAAAATTTTTTCTCATATTTTGAGTATAATTAACAAAACTTTCAGCAATCTATAACCTTAATGTGCTGATTATTTATTAACATTTGTCTTTGAAATCCTCCATATGAAACTGAGGTTTTATTCATATTTTTCCTCATTGTTATTCAAAACTACACTACTGCCTGCTACCTACATTCCAATGTTCAAATAATTAGGAGAGGAAGGCAATTATTTTGATGAAAGAGAAGAAAGATTAAAACAACATTACATAACAGCAATGGTACTGATGAGAACTGTCATTTTACATTTCAAATTATAGTAAGGCTTATATGATATACTTGTAAGCAGGTCTAATAAGCTAATGAAGAAGGGATAAGAGACTTCCTTGTGCTTAGTTAAGCAATCAGCTGCATTGTGATAAATTGCTATGGTGAATTTCACACTGAACATAGTGTGCAGAAATGTGACTGATTATATGTCTCTGTATTCATGTGTTGCAATCACTAAACCAGTATTACAAGCTTATTACTCAGTTATTCTTAGGAGGCTATACAAGGTAAGGTAAACATAATATTTTAGTAAGAATTGCATGTCCTAGAGTGTATCAAAAATATGTTTAAGAGTAGAAGATATACTGTGTGTATTACACACACACAGGCTAGGCTACAGGTAAGGACCCACTTCCATTAAGACCCTCAGCTCAGTTCCTCCCCAGTGTAGATCTTCTATTGTCCTCTTAATGTTTCCGGTAAATGTCCTTTATTCTTGTCTGAGTATAATCTTGATATGACAGACTACACCTTGCCTGCACATCCTGCCTGGGGTAAGCTGCCTGAGTGGCTTTGTTCTTCCCTTTCTGAGAGATGTCCGTGGATGATGTTGAGCTCTTGGCTCCTTTTCCCTACGGCTCTCTCATGGGTGGTACCTTGGGAGGGGGGTTCTATTCGGTCACTTTTGCTTAAAAAGGATGTAAAGTCACTGGGGGATAAAGTTGAAATCTCAATATGCAGGTGACTATCACATCTCTGACTTTGGCTGGACCCAATGGTGCAGACTCTTTGCTTTCCCAGGTCCTGGTCAAGATACTGGAAAAGTCTGGGGTAGCTATAGCTCATATCAGGCAAAATCAAAGTGATGTGAATAATTACAGGGAAATAACTTGAAAAAAAGGGAGAGGTTGCTGTTTACACCAAATATTAAAGGGGTTCACCCACACTTAGTCAAAGCAGGATGATGGGCACATGGTTAAGACACTGGACCCAACAGTCTAATAACCAA